GCCCGCCTGTGGTGAGGAAGCGAGCGGAGGGGGGCAGGAGGTTGGAAGTGGGTCGCTGACAGCAACTGTGGACTCCGTAGGGTTGATCCCTGCAGCAGTGCCTTATGTACTTGTATGGAATCCAACAGTGAGTGATGGTGCTGCATAAATACTGGGGTAGGGCCCTGAAATGATGAGCGGTTTGTGTGGCTGCGTCGTTGGGAGGCTCCATGGTCAGTGCACAAGGGTGTCCCGTACCTCAGAGAGAGGGATGATTTGGTACATGTATATACACGTGCATGCACATTACTGTATTCATCTGTATCTGGGCATAGACACATCCTTACTGAAATAAAGAACACAAAAACCCCTGTAAAACCACTCCAACACTGCTAGTAGTTAGCTCAGTTACATCTTGTTTGGAAGCAAGATGGCGGCTGTAGTTATGGCAGCTGCATCTTTTCACTTGAGCAGGTGATGTCTTTAATTCCTGGTAGCATCTTAAGTTTCTCCAGGGCTGGAAGAATGAGTGTTAACCTGCTGTTGTCAATTACAGTTACTTCTCAGGACTTTTTGGACGACTTGTGAATAAAAATACCTTTCTCCAACACAATGGCTGCCACATCAAGCACGAGCTCTACCTTGCCACCACCGCTTGGGCCCGAGCAAGAGGACCAAGAGTGCTCTGAGACACACATGTCTGTTTTGTGGTATGCAGGGCAGCTTGCAATTACTTACTATGACACAGAAGATTGCTCAGTTTACTTCATGCCTGACACACCTGATAATGAAGACCTCCAGCTGCTGCATAAAGTGATTGGGGAAGTTAATCCTCAAAGCATAGTGACCAGTGCAAAACAGGACCAGAATATTGCCAAATTCCTGACCAACCTAACAGCTACTGCTGGGGATAAAGATGTAAGAAAACCAGAAATTGTCCTGTTTCCTAACATAGATTTTGGCCTAGAAGTCAGCAAGCAACGGATCCTATCTAGGCAATTTCCGTTTATCCCATCTCATATGACTGCAACAGAGAAAATTCTCTACTTGTCCTCAATCATCTCTTTTGAGAGCCCACTCATGGTACGAGCCCTGGGGGGCCTCCTTAAGTTCCTAGACAGGAGAAGGGTTGGAGTTGAGCTGGAAGAAAGCACTATTACAGTTCCTATTTTGGCCTTTAAAAAGTTTGTGCTCTCAGATATTGTGAATATGGATCAAGACACTTACTGTGTCCTGCAGATATTTAAAAGTGATATCCATCCTTCTGTGTACAAGTTGTCCAGTGGATTAAAAGAAGGATTCAGTTTATATGGAATTTTAAACCGTTGCAGGTGCAAATGGGGAGAAAAACTGTTGCGGCTGTGGCTCACACGACCTACTCGGAATCTGACAGAGCTGAACAAACGGCTAGATGTTATCCACTTCTTCCTGCTGGCTCAGAACCACGAAACAGTCCTCACTCTTCAAGGCTGCCTCAAGAATATTAAAAATGTGCCTCTCATTCTAAAGCGAATGACTCTTGCCCACACAAAAGTTAGTGACTGGCAAGCACTCTATAAGACAGCGTACAGTGCAGTGTGCCTTAGAGACACATGTCGTTCTCTGCCCAGCACGATCGAACTCTTTCAGACCATCTCCCGTGTCTTCACTGACGACCTGCACTACATTGCTAGTCTGATCGGCAGAGTGGTGGACTTTGAAGGCAGCATCTCAGAGAACCGCTTCACAGTTCGACCCAACGTGGACCCCACCATCGATGAGAAGAAACGAAAGCTGATGGGACTGTCAGACTTCCTTACAGAAGTGGCACGAAAAGAACTGGAGACCTTGGACAATCATATTCCCTCCTGTTGTGTGATCTACATTCCTTTGATTGGGTTCCTCCTCTCCATTCCACGGCTACCAACTATGGTGGATAAGAGCGACTTTGAAATTGAAGGCTTGGACTTCATGTTCTTATCAGAGGATAAACTGCATTACAGGAGTGCTAGGACTAAGGAGCTAGACAGCCTGCTGGGTGACTTGCACTGTGAGATCAGAGACCAGGAAACACTTATTATGCACCAGCTGCAGACAAAGATCTTGGAGAAGTCTGAAGTGCTTAACAGTGTGGTCAAGTATACGGCACACCTGGACGTGCTACTAGCTTTGTCAGTGATGGCTCGGGAGAACGCCTACTGCCGGCCACGCTTCACTCTCCGCCATGGCTTCCGCATCAAGGATGGAAGACATCCGCTCATGGAACTGTGTGCAAAGACTTTCGTGGCCAATCCTGTGAACAGTGGCGAGGCTACCAGACGAATAAAGATCATCACTGGGCCCAACTCATCTGGAAAGAGCGTCTACTTAAAGCAAGTAGGTCTTATAGTATTCATGGCGCTAATCGGCAGTTACGTCCCTGCAGCAGAGGCGGAGATTGGAGTCATTGATGCGATTTACACAAGAATCCACAGTAGGGAATCAGTTTCTGTAGGGCTCTCTACTTTTATGATTGATCTTAACCAGGTTGCCAAGGCAGTAAACAATGCTACAGAGAGGTCCTTGGTACTTATTGATGAGTTTGGTAAAGGGACCAACACGCTGGACGGCCTGTCCCTTCTGGCTGCTGTCCTGAGGTACTGGATCAGTCAAGGAACCCAGTGTCCGCAGGTCTTCATCTCCACTAATTTTCACAGTTTAATGCAGCTAGAACTTCTGCCTGACACACCTCTTCTAGAGTACCTGACCATGGAGACCCACCAAGATGGAGACGAGCTGATATTCTTCTATCAGATCAAACAGGGCATGTCCACTGTTAGCCATGCTGCCAACATCGCTGCATTAGCAGGAATGAAAGAGGAGTGGAAGTGTCAGAACTGATTCGCAATGGAAAAGATATCAAACGTATTGATCACCCTTCGAAAGCAGATCAGATGGAAAAATGCCAGTCCATTGTGGAAAAGTTTCTTTGCCTAGACCTCGACAATCCCCATGTGGACTTAGAAGAGTTTATGCGTAAAGAGGTGCTGCCTGCTGCAGCCTCAGTCCTGTAACGGGGATACTTGTAAAAGCACCGCACACTGTATCTACCACGGTCAGTAAGAGTTCGGTGACACAAAAAACGGTCACTGTGACTAACAGCTCACGCTACAATTAGCTTGTAACAAGTGGTCTATAATGTACATTCTTTCTTCTTCTTCTTCTTTAAAACAAGTACTGTAGTTACATATCTCTGCAATATGGTCTGTGATGTAGTGACCACCCAGTTGTGTATTTTCTGCCCCTACTGTTGGATCTTCAGATTAAAAACATACCGTAGAAAAATCACAAAACATTTCTGCCTGTCTCCTAAGACTGTGAAAGCAAAGTGTTTATTGGTTTGTATTGTGCCAAAGTGATTATTTCAGCCACCTTGGGATCAACATCAAATATTCCAAATAAGTACGTGCCTCCGACTCCCACATTGCCAAGTAACAGTTGTCACAATACAAACCGCTGATGTAGAGGCAGATAAATGGAAATAAAGAGGGATTTAATGAGCTCTGCGGCTCTTCTTATACCAGCATTTCTGTCCAAAATGCCAGAGGTCCCAGGAGTTACTATACAAAGAACGCTGGGGGTCAGAATCAGCAGGGAATAATAACAGGAGTAGTACTTTGGTTTTACCACGAATCGCTCTTTTCTCATAAGGTTCTATATGGTACGACTATGTGTTTATGCCATATGGGCATAAGTAGGAGTGAAATTACAAATCTAGGAAACTGAAAAGTATACTATAGTTGTTCAGACAGAAATTCACATTTTATATTCTATTTTAGAGTACTGAGTAAAATGTGACATTAAGGAATAATTCCAGAAGGGGAGGATTCCCTTTCGCTTCTTGTCATGCAGAGGATTTTCACTGAACACAGTATTTGATGCATGCATATGCAACAAAAATTCATGAACAAATTAAAGAAGCAGGAGATGTGATATGTGAGTACTACAGAAGTAATAACCTTCCCTGCAATGAGATATGTGACTGGGATTCCTTATCTGAGTACGACAGAAGAGATAGTAGATAGCTTATTCTCTGACCGCCCAAACTTGCTGTAACTGCTTATGTTATGGCTAATAAAAGACATCAGCTGATACACTACATCACTCTTCAGCTATATTTGATTTTAAAAAGCCAAAAATAGGAACGTCACATAAACTGAGAGAAAATTTATATGAGGAAAAAGTAATTACCTTCATAATTATCAGTATTAAACATCTTATCTGGTATGTCTGGCTGAAGGTAGCAAGAAGATGAGCGTGAGTGTGCATCTTAAAGATTTGAATTTGGAGACACTGTTTGGGTTTGATTCAGCGTGGAATTTCCTCCTTTATGATGGAATTCTTACCATTATTACATAATAAGTGACTAGTTATCTCTATATGAAACTAGGATAGTGGCAAAAGTTTAACATAATTTACATTAAAAAAAAACCACGAATAACTTGCTGAATCATGCAGTTACTGCTGTTCCCAGTGCAATCATCACAATACTGTCTGCAAAACAACATCTAGCACCTTGACGATGGTACCACGGACACGGAATGGTAACAGTGGATCCGTCCTTGTACAACACCTGCAACTGTTGTACATACAAACGGATTTTCTCACTAATATATTATCTTTTACTAATTATACATACAGCATACAAAAGAATATAATATATTAATTATTTATTAATTACATTTTTGGCTTTTTGGTTTTTTGGGTCAACCACTGACTAGGCTAAGGATACATTTCTCGCTAATTAGGCAGATGCCATCAGAGCAATTTAGCTGCCAGTCACCTTCTAGTTATGAAATCCATTTCACAGTGTTTGCAGCTCTGGCAGCAGTAGGTATCAGAGGGTCTCCAGATGTCACACAGCATTTATCAAGCAAGCCTCACAACAGCCCTGAAATGAGCCGCAGCCTGGACGCCTGAAATCCAGAGGGGCTGTGACTGACCTGTGGACTCGTAGCAGGCTGGTGAGGGAAGCAGGGATGGAAATGTTACCTTTAAGTCCCAAACTCCAGTTGCTTCTTTCATTATGTTTCATTAGGTTCTTTGTACAGAAGACAGTGACACTAACCCAAGTTGACTGTTCTCATCCAAACCATCAGCTGTGGAAGTAGGTAAACACATGCAAGTAAATTATATCCCTTTATCTCCTTCCACAAGGCCACCAGGAGGCTCACTGTGCCTCCTGATTTTGGGGAAGTTTTCAGTGGCACATTGGAGCTCAGGATTGTCCAGCTAAACATGTAAACGACTTGCTCCCACTTCTGAGCAGGTAAGTCAGTCACTTCACCTGAGAAGCTGAAGGGGGTACGGTAAACCTGATCAGCTTTTCTAACACACTTTATCTCACATTTTTATCCTTTATTAATATCTGTTTTCAAGTTTTTTTGCATTTACCATTTTAGCTTAATGCTATGCCTTCAAAGGGGAAAGCTGATTTATTGAGATCCTAACTAATTTTGAATTCTCAAACTCTTTGCTTTGTAGATATCAGCAACTCTCTGGGAAAGTTAAGATCTTTGCAGAATATATGCATTTCAAAAATTCCTGTAGCAACGTTAGGGTTTGAGAAATGGGGTTTTTTTCCCCCAAAAGGTAACTTCGGTGGAGTGTACACATCATTATGAAGAGAGTACCTTAAGAGAATATTGCTCTGAATAAGGAAACTTACATTTAAAAAATATTAATATAGTTACAAAGCTAAAGCCGTGAGCTACACTCAACTACTTTACTGCTGATTGCTCTTTTACATGCTTTCTCATGTAATTTTCATCCACTCCCCTTTCTTCTTTTTCACACTGTTTTATAATCGGAAAATGCAATTAAACATTTTATTAAAACGTACTGCAAAAGAGTTATTCCTGTTATTTTTCATGTTTTTATCTATTGTTTTCAGTGAATGCATGAAACTATCTCACTAAATGCATGGACTCGATGAAACAAAAAATCATAATAAAGACTGCTGCTTATGCCTGACAGCAGATTGACAGAGAACAATTCCCAATGAAATATTTTACAGATTTTGAGTACATATTACCTTTCTACACAGTGTATCTTTAGAATACCATGTGCATTATCCAGCATCATGGAGGACTAAGGAAGATGATTTGGAATGATGCTGACCTGGTTCCATCAGCAGCAGTGAATATCAGAACACAGAAAAGTGTGTGTCTCGACATAATAGTTCATGCAAGGTAGATAAATGTAAACAAAGCAACCAGTCGAAAACCAGCCAAAACCCAGAATGGCAAAAACCCACCCTGACTGTCTCAGATGTTTTAACCAAACAGTTAAATTACTGAACAGTAATTTAGATATTCTAGATTAATGATATACTAGAAGATCTGTGGAGTTTTAAATTAGTGTGTTACAAAACAACTGTTAATACAAGCAAAAACTGTTATGAGCTTACAAATCTAATAACTATAACATACCACCTACAACCTGTGGACAGGTCCTTATTCCTGTTTCATAGCAAGTATGTGTGCCCTTGAAGTTTATCTACGTATCTAAAATCTCACTGCCTTCTTCCAACTGATTTCACAATACTACATAATTAAAAAGTACACTTCCAGCATTTTTTTAGAGTTATTTCTAATGCAAACTTAAAGTAATATTCTTCAGTTCTTACTGTTAAGGAAAAAAGAATAAAATATTTCAATTATGTACTTTAATTCTTATTTAAAAATAGATTTTTTCTGAGAATTATTTTCCTGGTCAATGGTAAAGGATCACGTAAAACATTCTATACAATGTGAGCAAAAAAAAATTTATGGTGTGACACCTTATGTTAAATAACACAATACTACTGTTAAACTAGTATGAAACAAAAAAATAGGTAAACCAGTATTGCTTCTCTATATTTAGAACCTACTTTCATCTATTAGTGTATGTTGCCATAAAACCTCATAAACAGGCAAGAAGTAACTGCCTGCGAGAGAACACAGAAGATGTGTGTCATCACTGCTCAGAAATTCACAGAAGTATATTCAGGAGAGGGAACTGACAGGCTGCATATTATCCATAATCCAACTGTAAACACTCTTTATTTGCTTATTTTCTCCTACACAGTAACAAAACAAAACTATCCCAACAAACTGCAGATAACCTACATCCTAATAATAATTCTGTGATTCTGAGCAAGTACTTTCATCCTGCCTAGTTTCCCAAAAGAAAATAGACCACAGTATTACTGTACTGAGAATATGAAGAGTGGTAGTTTAAAGTACAGTGCCGGGCTACTGTTTATATGGCAGATGTACAATTACTTTTTCTAAAAAACCCCAGTATTTGCAACCAGTCTTACCTCCTCAGCTGGTTCCAAAGCGGAAAGGATGATGCTGTAGCATCAGCAACTCCTTTGTTTGTCTCCAAACTAAACCTTCTAGATCGCTGCTGAGCTGTGAAATGTGAGCTCACCTGCTTACGTAGCTGTGTTGATTTTGACAACTTCATGAAGGTCAGATGTGGTTTAAAAGCTCTTCCTTCTCCTGCCAAGATGCCCTTTTCTTGAAATATCTTCTTCATAGTCTCTGAGGGGGGAGAGAAATGTACATGTCCAAAGATATTATTTGATAGAATGCTTAAAAATGTGCTTTCTACTGTCATGAGTCACAGCTGCTCCACATGGGAAAAACAAAATGATGAGTACTAAAAGGCAGAGATACCTCTGGTTAAATTCAAAGGCACATACTATTTAATGCAAAAATAGTCTTATACTTGCAGTTAATATGGGTCACAATTTGGCTTTACTGAAATAATGGCAATCAGAAGGCTGCCCGTGCTGTCTGTTTTGACGATGAAAATAGGAACCTGACAGTAAGACTGTTCAGGAGTTACTCTCACTGGAAGAGTCTTGGAAACTTCAGGAAAACTAAGTAATGAATTGCCTCTCTTCAAAACCAGTATTCTGCAGTGGGTATCTCCCTCTCAGACCAAAGGAAATCTGAAATTGAAAGCTGTGAATTCTGGCACTGGGTTTACACGGCAGCATTAGAGAACTTATCAGGCATGATGATGATTTTTGTTTGGGTTTGGGTGGGTTTTTTTTCCAAGCCTCACCAGTCCCTTCCAAGCTAATGTCAAATTTTTAATGTGCACTTTTGTCTGTCTCAGCCCAGGCTAAAGCAACTCTACTACGCTGACCTAGGCTACTATTTCCCAGCTCATCTGCCCAATGTACTGTTTCATTTCCTGGAAATAAATTTCAGTATAACTTTTGAATTATGTCCCATGTTTCCTTTAGCTGAAACACTACAAATGAAAAATTTCTGCTGTAATTTTGAAAAAAAGTTTAGATAAAATTGATAAAACCTGTGGCAAAAATAATACCAGTAAGTAGAATATTTCTATTGCTGAAAAACAAAACAAAACGTCTTTTTTTTTCCCCTCATTTGCAAACACAACTTTCAGTTTTAACTAGATGTAGGTCTAGCTGACTCATACTATTCTTGAACTAAAATCAAAACAAGGGACCAAAAATAAAACCACTCCTATCCCATGAATTTAACCGATCCTTACCATAACAATGCTTTTGCATTTAAGTGTACTATTTTTTGGCTTGCTACTTCACCTGTAGCAGAGAGATCCAGTGCTTTTTCTCCCACCCAGAAGAAAATGCATTACCCTGGGAAGCAAACAGCACAGCTGGCTGAGAAATTGTAGGGAAGGCCCAAGGAAGAGGAATATAGGGGTAAGAAGCTGGCTAGCGTAAGCCTGCTGGTTCACGCTGCTGAAGCAGTCATTCCAGAGCCCTTACTTTTACCATTTTTTGTTTTTTATAGTAACTATTTAAGTGAGCTACTTTGAAATCCCACTTATGAAGAGATTTTACAAGTTTAGGTATTCCTTTGCAACAGAAAAGTCCTAGAAGAAGCCCAAAGTATTCGCTTGGGACGTGGAGATCCGAATTCACTTCTCATCCTCTGCTGCCTGACTTACAACCTTAGGCTCCACAGGCCGTACAACTGAAGGTGGGATTTTGAAAGAAGCCAAGGAGATCAAAGACCCAAATGCTATCTCCTAAACAGGCCTACCTGAAAATTGTCTTTCAACCTTCACTCCCCACTTACAAGACGCTGATGCATTTTACAGAAATTAATCAGCTCAACCATTCATCCCAACTCACAGGACACTGAAAGGACAACCAGATTCAAACCTGCAAAGCATCTACACAATGGTAATAGGAGTCATACTCCTACGGCAGATGCTGAAAGTAACCTGCTGGAGTGATGGAGGTTGGAAGGGACCACCGGGGGTCATCTGGCCCAACCCCCTGCTCAAGCAGGGCCACCTAGACCCAGTTGCCCAGGACTCCATCTGGATGGGTTTTGCGTATCTCCAAGGATGGAGACTCCACAGCCTCCATGGGCCGCCCGTGCCAGTGACCCTCAGTACGTGTGTTGCCTCATGTTCAGAGGGACCCTCCTGTGTTTCAGTTCGTGCAAATTCTCTCCCCCTTGCCGTGACCCATGTAAGCATATCTGCGTGGCTAAAGCTGTACATCTATGTATCTACATCTGTAGGCCTAGATCTACCTACACAGCTGTAGCTATGTATCGATATGCAAGAACAGCTTACCTACTTGTGTTATTCTGAGTTCTGTCTGCAGGAAACGTTTCTAATTTACACTGCATCCCTACTAAGCTACTGTGCAGCTGTGCACACAAATGGCTGCTGAACAACAGATAAACCTCTCAAAACAGAAGACTACGGATAAATGTTTGCTGCTTCTTCAGACTGAAATATGGAAGTTCAAACCAAATCATTTAGATATGCTGTGCACATATTTCTATGCATCCAACGGCCTGCTTATTTCTGATGTTAGTAAACTAATAAAATGTTACATTTATTTAAAACTGAAGTTATCTGTAACAAAGTCATTTTCTGCTTCCTGTGTTTGGTTCCCTGAACTGCATCATTTGAGGACTCATTGACTCCAGCTCAAATTCTGCCATGACAGCTTACGCCAAGCGATGTCTTAACTCCCACTCTGCAATGAAGATGCGTGCTGGTGAAGACTTGCACCTCTAAGGGTGTCTCCCTAACTCCAGTAAGAGCCTACTGTCAGACCAGTGGTTTGCCAACATGCACCCGATCTCAGGATTTTAAACCCAGGGCTTTCAAGAGGGTGGAGTGATCATACAGCGCTGGGAACGTGCGTCACAGTGGGACAGTATGGCACCTACACTTCACACACCCGAGCAGCAACCACATGCCTGCATGCCTTCATTTTGTGCTTTGTTCAATATCTGCTTCTGCTTATCTTTCTCATCTTTTTTTTCATACCTGTCAATTCTAATCAAGGAAAAACAGTGATGAAAAACTCATTAGAAAAACTCAAAGCATAACTCCAGGGAGAGACTGCAGCTGTAAAATTAGTAGATTTCCATGTGCGTATGTCCACACACGTTTTCCTGGTGATCAGACCTCTCACACAGCTCTGTCATGGCACAGACTTAATAAACTTCAGAGGCTCAAGAGACTGGTTGCACTTGCTGGTACCAGAGAGCCCCAGTTTTGCAACATTTGACACGCAGGCAAAGCACAACGTTTTACTGGTTGACTTAGGAACATAATTAGCACATTTCCTTCATCAGGGATAATGAAAACAGACAGAAATCTGAGTAGATGGGAGGGGAGAAAAACAAGAAACAAAGGGAAATGTTTTCCTGAGAGCACAGGAAGGTTAAAAGATAATGCAATGCTATTAATATCCATGCAGCTCTTTGAAGAAGGATTTTAAAAGAAATGGGGAAGGAAGAAATCATGCTCTGGGCAAGAGAAAGTTCCAGGCTTAGAGGACAGCATGAAAGTGGATTTGAAGACTGAGCAAATACACAGAGGTTAAAATTCATGATAGGGATTGCTTGAACTGAAATAAATTAGAGGCCAGTGACAAGAATGGTAGATGGACAATGCCGATGGGTCTTGTCAAATGAGAATCTGGCATCTTTCCCCCAGACATCAAGACTACTAACTAGACTGAAAAGCAAGATTGTGTTTTCCCTCATTAGAATCATAGAGCAGTTTGGGTTGGAAGGGACCATTAAAGGCCATCTAGTCCAACCCCGTTGCAGTGAGCAGGCACACCTTCCACTAGACCAGGTTGCTCAAAGCCTCGTCCAGCCTGGCCTTGAACACTTCCAGGGATGGGGCATCCACAGCTTCTCTGGGCAACCTGTCCCAGTGCTTCACCACGCTCTCTGTGAAGAACTGCCTCCTGATGCCTAATCTAATCCTCCCCACTTTCAATTTAAACCCATTACCCCTGGTCCTGTCACTACCGACCCTTGCAAAAAGTCCCCCCCAGCTTCCCTGTAGCCCCTTCAGGTACTGGAAGGTGCTATAAGGTCTCCCCGGAGCCTTCTCTTCTCCAGGCTGAACAAGCCCAACTCTCTCAGCCTGTCCCCATAGCAGAGGTGCTCCAGCGCTCTCAGCATCTTCGTGGCTGAAAAATGTCGACCTGTCTAAGGCTAACCAATGTTTGCAGCTTCAAAGTATAGCCTAGGAAAGTTATGGCTATTTTTACAAGCTCAATGACTTCCTGCAACAAATTTTTGGACAGCTTTCAGATCATCTTTCATGCAATTTGAAGTACTCTGTAATACCATTTTGCACCTTATTTTTATAATGTCAAAATTACTGAATGTCATCTGCCTCTCTTATGTTGGATGTGGCTGAACCCATTAGACAACTGTTTCCCCATAATTAGACTTGAAATGTGATATATGGAACTTACTCAGGACTAGAAAGGCTCAAAAATTCAACAGCTAGATCAATACAGAATGATTCATAGAAAAATTACACATGGAGCCGTATTCCCTAATACAAAACCCCATCTTCTTTTCCAAGATTCCATTACAAATGGAAAACCACTACATATGCACAATTTCTTCCAGTCTATTAATTTCTGCTGGTCCCTAAACCAGATTCCCTCCATTAAAAGGTTTAGAATTCAGAAACACAATCCTGTCTTTTTATTGAAACATTTTTTTACTTTACACTTGGTGATGAAGAAAAGCTAAGCATAGGTAACTTAACAATCATGTTAAAATTTTTAAGTTTTCAGTTGTTTTTTTAAGAGCATTCTGTTGGCTATCAGTTAGCAGAAGTTTGGGTTTTACAAAGAAGCCCTTCTGGTCTTCCTTCCTGTCCTAATAGCACTGAGCATAATCCACACACAAAGCCTTACAAGACCCAATTCCCAAGCCAATTAAGAACTCCAAGCCATTTATTTCAGATAATAGTGTTTATAACAACCTTAAGTATATGCCACCAGATGTGAGCACCACAAAAAATAAAAAGTTTAGATATCATGTGATGCTTAGAATATATAAAAAAGGCTGCATCAGGCACCAAACTCTCTACAATCACCTCACTGTTAAGACCATTAAAAATTATAGTTATCAGCCTGCGGAGTATCCCTGGTAGCTGCCTGACAAAAACTACTGACTCTTGAACACTCAGGAATCCCCAGTCTCTGGTGAAAAAAAAGTTGTGGCTAAACCAGGGTCAGTCACTACCTCGTGTG